AGATGATGGTTTTATCCGCGTAAGGGATGGAATATGCCTTGCAACATCCAGATAAGCCACACATACCTAGAAGTAACTGGATAATCAGGGATACCAACAGTTTGGTAGCATTAACGACTATATCTCAAAAAGGTATTGTTGCTTATGTCAGAATGTTTAGCGTGACTTTCTAACGATATTTTTCTGTGTAGTTGTACATTACAGACATTCGCGGAGTTTGCAATCTGAGGACAATCATTTGCCCTATACGCAGAAAACTACAAAGCCAATTGCATTTAAGTGAAAACCAGCACTTAATAATCATTAAGAGATTTAACAACAACACAAAAAAAAAAAAAAGGTACTTAAGGGATGCAAATACTCTCTGGAAAAAATTTACAGTAATAATGTGAAAGCTATAGCCCTAAATGAGACTACAAGGGACCCAGGTAATTCTATATCATATGCACGGACATTTTTTCCTATATGTGGGTAATATCGAGAAAAAAAAAAAAAAAAAAAATCAATGTGGACAGGCCTATCTATCTTTATAAACTAATGAGATAATGTAATTGCACAATTATGTGTATTTTTTGGGGTTACTTGTGTTAAATACGGTACTTGTTCCAAAGGGGAACATAAAGTGATAACGAGGTCTGTGCAATTTGTCATCTCACAAAGACTAATATAGGAAGGTTGACAAGCTCTCTCTCACCAAAATAGAACTGGTGAAGGTTTGTTTAATTTGTCTCAGATGAGGGGAGGGGTGAAGTCCACAGCATTAGTGGAGTTAACCAACTGATTTGCTGACGTCAGTGAGGGATCAGAAACTTAGTTTTCCTTTTTGTTGATCATTATCTTTTACTCAACTGTATCAGCCTACAAAACAAACTTTTTGTGTACCTGGAGACGTTCACGAAGATTACTTCAGTCGTCATCTTTGTATAAAACATCTCAAAATGCTGAATAAAAGGATGAAAATTTATACCACTGCTTACCCTTATGTGGGAGGCCAAAAAAGTATGCATAAGTGCAATCACTTCGAACCTGACTATTGTGGATTATACATCATCTATCATAAAATTTAAAAAATCCATATTTTTCTTATTTTGAAAGGCATAAACCAGTCCCTGACCCCCTCGCTCCCAGGACACAGTTTCTACACTTGTGAAAATGTCGAAAATTAGGAACCATCCCTTACCAAAAATTGCACATTCCACTTATGAACATTTACCTTGAAGCAAAATGTAAACTTTTTAAGGCAGGGTCCACCAGATGTTGCCCAACCATGTGCTTCCCAGTCTGACACGAGGGATACGGGAACAGAGACATGCAGCTGCTCTGGTTTACCAACTTTACCATCTGGCTAACCATATGAAATTTAAAAAACATTCATATCTAATAAATGCCCAAATTTTCAGTACCTCTCTCATGCAATTATTCCCCAACCTAGATCTAAATTGACTTATTTCTATAAATAAGAGAGAAAATAATATATATATAATAACAATAACTACAACAACACATCTGGCTGCACCTCCTCTGGGTGTGTCAAGAATAAAAGAACAAACATATATAAAACTCATAATTGCAATTCTAAAAAAACAGCGCTTAAAAGGAACCTCTTATCAGAAAACCCTGAAAGAACGCTCAATCTTCCACAAAGCTGCCAACTCATATAATGGTTTTGTTTGACAGCATCTGTTAGCAAGACCTAGCTGCGCCTTCTCTGGGTCTGTCAAGAAAAAAAGGCCGAACGTGTATAAAATTCAAGAGTACAATCCTACAAAACAGCTCTTCCAAGGAGCAACTCCGCCAGACTACCCCCAAGAACAACTCGATCTTTCACAGAATGGCACACCAATGAAACGGTTGTTTAACAGCGTCTGTTAATACGATCTGGATGGAAAGGCGTTCTATCATATCTTTATAATGCTTCCTTTTTCACGGTAGATATTAGCTCCTTGATCGAATTCGGCTTGTACTTACGACAGCATATTACGATGATTTAGGTAAACTACCGACACCTTTCAGGATTCAACCCCCCCTTGGCCTTCACTCTAAATTTCCAAAACTCAGCTCTATGCTAATTTCACGTCCACAAGTGTCAGTTCACTCATCTATGTGTAAATACGAACACATACATGAAAACAGCCCCGAGGGACCGCCAGGGTGACGTCCAGGCGAGGCTTGGGGTGCGACAGATAACCACAGGTGTTCCTCCCTCGGCACCCCAAGGGAACCCCACAGAGCCCGACCCCGACAGGTGAGCCCGCACACCTGCCCTCCCCCGAGCTCCCTTCCTGCCGAGGGCCCCGGAATACACCTGTGGCTGCGTGTACCTGCGATTTCCCCAGTGACGCAAGAAGCCGCATGCAGTGTGGGGACGACCTACTGCCAGGCGAAAAAAAAAACGTAAACATTGGTTCCGATTTCTGAATGGAAGTCCTGCGGGTTTTCCCCTGCGCGCCGCGACTTACGTTCATAACAGTTGTGCTCGCCGCAGTAGTAATCCTCCACGTAAGCACTGGACGGCTGTAATACAATACATGACAAGTAGAGCAGCAGGACCCACAGCATTGCTTCCTCCTCGGCGGTCGGTCGGCGACTGAGTGTCACAGCATCGACAGCCAGCGGTGTTGCCACGTTGCGCTGTTGCCACGTCGCCTTCTGCCGCGCTGGAAGGGGTAACAACTTTATTTTTTTTTTTCTAACTTTGTTTCCCGTCTAACTGGATTTTAATTTTATTTAAGAGAATTTGTATCGCAAGTGGAAATGGGTGTAGGTAGAAGTGAGTGTCCTAAAGTGAGAGATTTAATTTTTAATTTTTAAGGATGTTGTGCAGGTTTGAACATCATCTATATATCATCAGGTATTATTATATAGCATGATATGACTGACAATATCTACTTCATTTGCTTAAATTTACGTCTCTTATAGATATGCGGAAGTTGAAAGACCATTTCGGTGCATATCTTCCTTAAAATATAACACCATCTGGTAACACGTTTCCACCAGCCAGTGACCTCAAAAACACGTTTACGATTCAACTTTTGACCTCTCCCTTAAATTTTTGGTGCATTGTGTATTCTGTATACCTATCAGCTCAACATTCCATCCGCGAAGCCCTTGTTGAATATATAATACGAAAGAACACATATGCAATCACTTTTCCATCAAAAAATAATAAATAGATAGACATGATGGTACAAAGCAAAATGCCGGTAGTCAATTTTAGATTAAATATTATCATACAGAGCCAATACAACTCCTTTTTGGCTATATGAAATATTTGTATAGCTGAGGAATGGATTACAATAGACGCAGATTTGATTCGAAACAACAACCGCATTATAGAACAACTTAAAAATTTAAAAAAACGAAAAATAACACCAGATTACTGGATGCCATTGGACTCCCGTGATAGGAAATGTTATCTTGGTATAGATAGTGGTCAGCGGGCAGACATGACCTTGCCCCGAGCCCTGCCTTGCCCTCATGACCTTGCTCTCGTCCTGTGACCTGGTTCAGTTCTTGTTCATATTCTTTTTGTTGGTCATGTATTTTTGCTTTATGTAGCTATTTCGCTTATGTTTCTACAGTATATACATATATACAACATTATATATAATATATATATATATATATATATATATATATTATATATATATATATATATATATATATATATATATATATTATATATATATATATATATATATACATATATATATATATATATATATATATATATATTATATATATTATATATATACATACTATACATACATATATACATATATATATTATATATATATATATATATATATATATATATATATATAATATATATATATATATATATATATATATATATATATATGATATATATATATTATATATATATATATATATATATATATATATATATATATATATATATATATAGATATATATAGATATGTATATATACATAATATATTACATATATTACATATATATATATATATATATATATATATATATATATAATATATATATAATGTCTATATGTATGTATGTATGTGTGTGAGTGTATCTCTATCTCTCTCTCTCTCTCTCTCTCTCTCTCTCTCTCTCTCTCTCTTCTCTCTCTCTCTCTCTCTCTCTCTCTCTCTCTCTCTCTCTCTCTATATATATATATATATATATATATATATATATATATATATATATGTATATATATATATTATATATCCTGCCTTCCCACAGCCACATGTGCGTGGAAACGTTGCCCCGAATCTCTGTGACGAGAAGAGGTTGTCTTTTTTTTCCTTTTTATCTTCGAGGATAAGACTCCGGGCGCAGAGAAGATAAGGCGCGAAGGGCGGGACACAGCTACAGCCGGAGGGGGTGAGAGGTGGGAGGGAGGGAGGGAGGGAGGAGGGGAGGGAGGAGGAGGAGGAGGATTGGGGAGGGAGAGGGGAGGGAGGAGAGGGAGGAGGGACACAGCTACAGCCGGAGGGGGGTGAGGGAGGGAGGGAGGGAGGGAGGGCGGGACACAGCTACGCCGGAGGGGTGACGGGGAGAGGGAGGGAAGGAGGGAGGATGGGGAGGGAGGGGAGGGAGGGAGGATGGGGAGGAGGGAGGGGAGGGATGGGAGGGAGGGAGGGAGGGGAGGGATGGGAGGGAGGGATGGGGAGGATGGGGAGGGACGGGAGGATGGGGAGGGGAGGAGGGGAGGGAGGGGAGGGGAGGGAGGGGAGGGGAGGACGAGGGGGAGGGGAGGGAGGAGGAAGGAGGGAGGGAGGGGCGGCGGGACACTGCTACAGCCGGAGGGGGAGTGAGGAGGGGAGGATGGGAGGACGGGAGGAGGGAGGGCAGGGAGGGATGGGAGGAGGAGAGGGAGGGATGGGGAGGGAGGGAGGAGGGATGGGGAGGGAGGTGGGGAGGGGAGGGGAGGGAGGAGGGGGGAGGGATGGAGGGATGGGGATGGATGGGGATGATGGAGGGATGGAGGAGGGAAGAGGGAGGGAGGGATGGGGAGGAGGGAGGCGGGACACTGCTACGAGCCGGAGGTGAGGGAGGGAGGGAGGGAGGAGGGGAGCTTGGGATGGGAGGGACGGGAAGGATGGGGAGGATGGGGAGGGATGGAGGGAGGATGGGGAGGGAGGGAAGGAGGGATGGGAGGGGGAGGGAGAGGGTGGATGCGGGAGGGAGGAGGGAGATGGGGAGGAGGAGGAGGGATGGGGAGGGAAGGAGGGAGGGCGGATGGGAGTGAGGCGGGAGGGATGTGGAGGAGGATGGGGAAGGGAGGGAGGGAGGATGGCGGACCCAGGGAGCGAGGAATGGGAGGGAGTAGGGAGAGAGGGGGATGGGGAGTGAGATGGGAGGGAGGGAGGGAAGGGAGGGAGGAGGATGCGGGAGGGATGGGGAGTGAGGAGGGAGGGATGGAGGGAGGAGGATGGGGAGGAGGAGGGAGGGATGGGAGAGGGAGGGAGGGATGGGGGGAGGGAGGGAGGGATGGGGAGGGGGGAAGGGAAGGAGGGAGCGGGACACACAGCTACAGCCGGAGGGTGAGGGGGGAGGGAGGAGGGATGGGGAGGAGGAGGAATGGGGAGGGAGGGGAGGGGAGGGAGGGAAGGAGGGAGAGAGGGAGGCGGGAGGAGGAGAGGGGAGGGATGGGAGGGAGGAGAGGAGGGAGGGGAGGGAGGGAGAGGGAGGAAGGATGGAGGGAGGGAAGGATGGAGGAGGGAGGGGGGACAGGACGTCTTCCAGGAGACAG